AGTTCCCAGACACCTCATAACACTGGTCCTGGGCTCAGTTCCTGGGGGGCTTTTTGTGTAGAGTTTGTATGTTCTCCCCATGTTCAGATGGTTTCCTCTGGGTTCTTTCATTTCCTCTTCTGGTAAGCTAATTGGCTTCTGTAAATTTGGCCCAGGTGTGAGTGGGGATATGAATGTGATTGAGGTATTGTAGTTTCCATTCATTCTTACAGGAAAAAAAGAAGGATTATTTAGAAACAATGTTTAGAATTATAGAGACAAATTTTAGAATAATTTAAAATGTTAAATATTAAAGAAAAGGCACATGAATAAGATATGACAGAGGTAGACTTATTTTATAGAAATGATCAAAGGTGTATAGGTAAGCATTCTAATGGAATCATAAACGTTACAGTAATACCTGCTCCACACACACACTGCAGGGCTCTGCAATGCATACTGTACACAAAGTTGAAGTAACACATGATTTGGCATTGTCCTTCAGAGCAGAATCTCCACTTAAAGCACGCTGCCTGTACAACACTATATTTAGCTACTGGGCAAAAACCATTTTGTCGCATACTAACAAACTGCTGTATAAACAAAATCACTAATACAGTTGTAATGTAAATATGTTATGGTAATATTTTACGCACACAATAACACTGAAAACACCCATGACAGCTGTGTCAAACATAATCAGACGTGTTCCCACATAACAACCAAAATGTGACCATGGCTTAAGCCTACAAGTACAGTATACCACAAAATGGCAAAGCTTCAACTTCTCTCTCCCAACACCAACAGCAATAGCCTCTCTGCATTACTTATGCAGTACAGTAAAAGTCAACTCAAGTATGACAAACGCAGGTAGTTAACGGTAATGAGGAATATGTAGAACACTGGATATGTGTGAAATCAATGTCTTACTCTTTGGGCTATGAAATGCAACAGCAGGTTACACCATCATAAAACAGGCAACAAAAACTTGCAGACATGGCAAAGCATGGCAAATAAAATTCATTCTCACCTTCAATCTAAATCTCACACTCCATTTAACAGTTCTGCTCATGCTGTATATTCCTTTGACCTGGCAACATTATGCTTGCTGTATGAACAAGAAAAAAAAACTGTGTCTCTGAATGTCACATTTTCTAGAAACGTCTTCTTGATGTTGGCGTCACCTTGGTTGTCCTGTTTATTGCTAAACAAGACTTGACTGTCTTTGTGTCAGGCAGGTGTGGCCAAGTTTTTTTTCCCCATAAGGAATCCACTTATCCAGCCACAACTGACAAAGGGATATGGAACATTTGTCCATGAGCTCAATGGACTGTCCACACAGATAAATAAAATGCTGCTGTACTGCTACAGTATGTTTAACACTTGTTAAACTTGTTTAAAAACAAAGTTAAAAAAACAAAACATTGCACAAACCCTAATATCTGATATTAAGTGAAACACATTTTAGTAATGTAAAATAACATTTACATGCAAGCATTACTTATCCTGTTTCATCTTACACTAATATAAGCAAACATGACAGTTTCTAAGGGGGAAATGGTTTATTATTTAGCAAAGGAGCCAAAAAACATGTGTTTTGCTCTAAAATCCCTTTGCTAGAATTTGCAAGAGAGAAACCTTACACCCTCCATTAAGAAACAAGCCTGTCGCTAAACAGACCACTTGAAAGATGAAAGCTTTCAAAATGAAATAATCCTTCTGTTCAGTTTTTAATGATCTTGTATTCTGACTGTTTCCTTCCTCGTTGTATGCGTATTACAGATCTTATCAGATTTCAGCACTGAATTACAAATGATTGCCAATTCTAGTCCAAGAAAGGTAATAATAGTGTGCTTGCCTAACTCAGCCAGTGTGTGCATTACTTAAAAGAGAGTTTTCCATTGGTCACCATTCTTCTACACCTCTGGCTCATACTGCAAATCTGTAAATTACACAAGTTCGTCTTGTGATCTATAAGGCTATGTTAATAAGAACAGGAAACCCAAACAGTACCCAGATCCTTCTGCGACACTGGTATGATAATGTTAACAATGAAAAAGGTCATCCCTTAAAAATGTGAACAATATAAAATCTGTGGTTTAATGAAGCAATAGTGCCCAGGGGGAAAAACAAGAATTTTGGCCAAAAATTGTTAATAAGGATTTTTTGCATGTCCATTTAATGGTTTTATATTATAAAATGCTGTAAAACACTATTGAAAACTACCATGCAGCTTACTGGGACTGCCAGTGGTTATAAACTGTATACACACACTTTAAATATCATGTTTCGCAAGTGTTTTCTGAAGTGACTCTTTTGTTAATTCAGTTTCCATGCATTGTTGTGCTCTCCATCATCTTACCTCTAACCTCTCTTCCCTACCTATATTCTCTCTCTCATTTACCATCTGCGGACTGACAAGTCATGCTGTTGCTTTCTGCACCAATCTTCCCTGCTCACTCCTCCTCTTCCTCCCCTCTTGCCCCTGCTGTTGTGCTACCAAGTAAAAACAAATATCAGGGTGGCTTGTCTCCCATCATCTTCCTATGCCCCCTTCCTATGCCAATCTGTCAGTTGACTGCTACGTTCTTCTCCACTGCTGCTGTCCTGCTACAGTACATTGCATATCCTATGTTTGTATTACATTTCATCTTTCCGTTGTGTTGCTGTACTATTGAAATCTTCTGTACTGGCTTAGGTAAACAATTGATCTTTGGAATTTTACACTGCAGTGATAATATATTTCTAATAATGTATTTTGAAGTTTACTTGCATAAATAAATAAACCTAATAAATACTGTGCATCATTAATTAGTTGGTGGATAACAACACTTCCTCACATGTATATAAGGCTTTTCATCTTGAAGGACAGATGAGGTGGAGAAATGAGAAAGTGCTTCATCAGATTAATTAAAGGACTTTTAAGGGGGCTATATTTTGTAAGCCCAGAGTGGAATTTGACCAGGACAAACAGGGCTTTTTGATTATTAATTGGCCACAAATTCAGGACTTCAAAAGCAAAGTTTCATCTGAAGGGCAGACATTTCCTACAACACACTGTCCTCTTTCAAGATACTTTGGCATTGGTTTGGAAACTCTGGTTCAGTGTGAAGAGTGCCACCTATTGGTCCACAAAGACCACTTACAACAAAACGCTGGTGTTTCTCAGACGTCTCCCGTTCAAGTACACAACCCACCCTTTCTTAGTTTCAAAGATACAAGCTCCAGCTACAAGCCACAAGGTGGTAATGCCACTTTCAAATGACAATGAAAAGATAATCACATACAAGTTCTGCTGTTACTTGAAAAGAGCAAAACACATTAACAATATTATCATTTAACATGATAAAATCTTCATCTTACCTCAACAGAGTTGCAGATCTCCTGCTCTTACAACTGCAGTCCTATATGTCAACAAGAATCAACTTGTGTTTTGCTGTCTGCTAAGATGATTTGTGACCCATTTAAATAGAAACACTGGAACAATTGTAATCATGCCAAACTTGCCATTTCGGGTGGAATATATACTGTACAACACATCAGAGTGAATAACAGCAGCAAGTAATACAGTATAATTCTTACCAGCATTTTCTTTTAAATGGATTTAAGAAACATCCTTGATCCAATGCATTTTAAGATTCTGCATTTAATTTAAAACAGTCAATAAAGCATTTTTTCCCTTGGATATTTCACTTGTTTACTTGGATTACTCCTTTTATGATGAGAATGGCGGAAGAGCTTTACAAATTACTCATCATGAGTCACTCCTGTTATGTGTCCAAACATCAGTAAGTAGGCTACGACATAAAACATCTTGTAGCAGATGATTCAAAGGGATGCATGAACAAACACAGAGATGGTACAGGGTGCAATGTGCATCTACTGATACCAAAATGGGAAAATGTTGAATAACCTTAAGACAGCACTGCATAAAGTGAGATGGTAGGTTTATATGATTATACATTTCTGTCGTTTTTCACTTTATGATGATATTTCCTTTTTTTTTTTTAGATTTTCCAGGATAAAGCATTTCCTCTTTTTTCTGAAAGACTGAAAAAGTATTCCCCTTCAGAAGATAGAAAACACCCTCGAGAATATGTACTGTACTGTTCAACAAACAGATATGTTCGTAAATGTTCTCTAACCTTAACTTGATGAATCATTGTTTTTTCTTCTTCATTTTATGAGAAACAGCTTTAAGCACTTCATGCAAGCCGTGTGAAATACTGCCAAAACGCTCAAAATTATGTCAGGAGTTTTTTTTTATTAACTTTCCGATCATTTATATCAAAGATTTAACAGAACATTAGATTCACAGATTGGCACAAGACACACGGCTTCTAATTCGCTGTAAGTGTCGTATCAGCACTATCTTTACACTAAACTTTCACAAGCTCAGTTAAGCAGCAATTAATCTAAATAACCTGGCTGACGCTCCATGTGTCATTGTGTACACTGTACTTTGAACTGTAGAATTATTGATGTATTGTGTTCTTCTGCCCTTCGAAGATATAATTCAATCTATGTAATCATGAAACATTACTTTTCTTCCATCCTACATATTAAAGCCAAAACCCTAACCTCATTGTTATAATGATGCAGAACGATCTACTTTTTTTTACATGGTTGTATAAAATGACTCCACAATGCAATTGCCCGTTCTTCCAAAAGTTTGCTTAGTATTAGAAAAGTGCGCTTTGAATGTGGTGATCCGCTATGCTGATTGTAATCCTGACTGATCCGCCGTACAAGTTAATTACATTTGCTTGCCAAAATCCGTATTATGGAATGAATTATTTCATAATCACAAAACCCAGACGCGCACAATGATTGTGTAAACTCGGGTCTTAACAGGCAATACCTGTAGAACAAAACTGCCACCAAAAGACACGAGTGTCAGTACATCTCGCCGTAGACCTGAACGTAAACCGAAACAAATGTAAACTGCTTAGTATCAGTTATTTCTAACTGAATTGTTTGCGTATGCGTAAGTATAAAATAAGTAAATACAACATTCCTACCTCCGACTTCCACACGATGTAGGACTGGGAACTGGACTGTTGCAGCTTTTTCTGAAGCCACTTTCGGGGAGAGAAGATGGTACTGCTGCTCCCCGATGGGCTGAGCGCAGGGCTTCTTGCGAGGAAAGGTAGATCCCATGCCGTATTCCTTTTCACACCCTTTATGTCATAGTCAAACTGAAAATTGGAGGATGGAGAGGTTTCTAGAGGAGTGCATGGACTGGAGACGGAAAGAGGTGGCTTCACCTTCAGCGACTTGAAGCGCAAATCTAGCTTTGAAGCGGTCAGATTTTCCGCCGAGATCTGAGGAGACAAGTTGCTTGTGCAGCTACCGGCTTCCCTCGAGCCAAGACAAGACATGCCCATGTTTTCAAAATCATCCTTTGTTCCTTCTGTGTCTGTCCCATAGTTTCTTATGATGGCTGGATCCAGGCTCCGTGTCTGCCTTAACCTCCTTTTGGAGATAGCTTTCGATGCTGGAGACGAACAGGAGAAAACGCTGTTCAACAGCCCCTGAGCCGACATCTCCTCAATTCAAGCCCCCACGGACAGCACACCTGAATTCCCGTTTTATATCTAATGGACTTGAAAATACTCCAGAATCCAAAACTTCACAGGCTAAACAAACCATGACACCAAATTCAACCCAGCGTTGCAGTCTCTGTCTTTACACCTTAACATTTCTTGCATGGCATTACTGTCAGGATGAAAAGTGCAGTGAGTGCTGCGTAAGGAACTACAGTGCAGAACTCCCCTCTCGATGTCCTCGCTGCCCTGTGGATTCTGTACCGCGCGTAAACTGCTTTCAGAGCCAGTGAGGTCGAACGAGGAGAGGCTGGAAGATTGTGGTTTCACAACTCTAACCCCTTCTCGCGTCACTCCAGAGCATCACAGCTTCTCTCCATCCTATTCAGAATTTCCTCTGCGAGCTGTCACCCGCTCGCAGTTGTACAACCACTGCGCGCTGATCTGGGCTTCCTTTTTTCCCAAATAGGAAGACGATCGTGGTTTCTGCCAAAAAATATCGGTTTCTAAATTATTGAATATTCCTTTTTGGCGAAATTCTTCCAGCGGCAATTAACGCTCGTCACAAATCGATAGTTAAAACACAACATAGTGATCTGAACTGTTTCCTGGTACGATAATGATGGTGATAATTATAATAAAAAGAAAAATACCAAATATAATGTTTTTTTTTTCAAAGTAGCGTGTAAATATAATTCGATTTTCAGTTTGGCTTGACCATATTTGTGTCTTGAAGCTGGAGACGAACGAGAGTTGCAGTAAAATGGATATGTTAATCACGAAACAAAGCTATAATGACCTGTTAGCTATTTCCAAAACTACTTTTAATTTGGCTTTACCAGTAAAAGATGTGTTCTAAATCCTTGCTGTTTCGTTATAAAAACCAGCTGTATATACAGTACTATATACAGGAAGTGCAAACATGTTTAATATACTGTAAAGAATGTTTGACAATATTGGAACAATTACTTCCCATGGGATCAATTAGGGAAGGGAAATTTCAGATAAATCAAACTATGAACTAGCACTGTGTAACACTGATAACAGGACAGTCAACAAGGGCAAGCAAAAAACAGCCCAGAGGAAACTATGAGATATCTGTTTTTTTATATGCTACTGCATATTTAGGATGTCTTCACTACTTTTCGACTGGAGTTTTCATTACATCACTTAATTTATTTGATAATATGGAAAAAACATAATATTTATGAACTCTTGAAAGCATGATTTTGCCACAATGCATAAGAATGTGGAATACTACTAACAAACTTCAAGGAATAATTTAGTTACTGCAGTAAGAAGCTTTATGCCATAACTAAGTTGAAATATACAAACATACATAATATATACTTTTTCTTGCCAAAATGGACTTATGAAATGGAAAATGAAATTATTAAAAAACCCAACAAATAATAAAAGCAAAAATAAATTAATACTCACGAACATAAGAGCACTAAAAAGAACTAAAGGGGACCCATCTAGACCATTTGGTAGTCAATAGTTAATTGATCTAAGCATCTCGTCCAGCTGGTTCCTGAAAGAAACCAGGGTATCAGCTTCATAGACATGGCTGGGTAGGTTGTTCCATACTTCCACCACTGTTTGGGTAAAAAACTGCCTTCTGTTCTTGTTTTTAAATGCACCTACATTGTGTTTTCTCTTGTGCCTTCTTGTTCATTTAAGAGCACATCAAGAAATCACGTTTCTCACTTTGAAAATTAACAGCAATGATGCCAGTGGTAAACTGGGAATTCTCCTGGGTTTTTTTTCCCAGAGATGTCACCAAGTTAAATTTTATAATTATGGAGAGCTCAGGTGACTGGCAGCTGGTCCTGGAGGCAGGTGGAGTGTGTCTCACCTCCTGCACTGGGTCATAAGACAGGCAATAGTTAGATGATGGGCGACTCTCAGGGATTTAGTCTGTGGCTCAACAATTTTTTCCCCCCAAACAAGCTTAACACAATAAGCACATACAGGACATGACTAGTGTAAAATACTGAATGAAGAGTGTAAAAAAACAACAACAAATGATTTAAAAAGATTAATGAAGAGCAATAAAGTTACAGCACACTTAGTGAAAAGGCAAAAGCTTAAGCAAGCCAGACACTGCAAAGAATGTGCAGACACTGATGCCCATGTTGAAATGGACAGCACCTTCCGTTCCTTCTAGCTAATCCTTTCAAGTGCTGTTCAAAATACTAGTCCCAAAGCAGAAAGGCCAAGGGGCAAATTCACTTTGACAGGGACTGTCCACTTCTTGGCTTCAGAGATAAGTCAAGGAGAACAAAGGAATGTCCAAGTGCCAACTTTGAGAAATGAAGCTGGAAAGAAAAAGGTTCAAAAGGATCACAGAGCAGCAGCAGGATTTTTTCCAAGTCTACCTAAAAGAGAGCATAGACTTTGCTGCATCTTGATCAGTAGTCTTCCCAAAGATTTAGACGTGAACAACCTCGACCACAGAATTAAAATACCTACATTAAAATGCCTACAATGTTTTTTGGTCAGTCAGATGCCCTTGTATGTAAAGAAAGCTTTATGCTTTAGACCAAAACAAGCAAAAGGAACTATGCAAGTCTTTCAAAATCTATGGTCACAAATATCTTAAGTACTTCCAGTAACTGCCTACGTCTCATTGTCCACCAACCTTGTCGTAGAAGATGTGCTTACGTATTCCAGGAGGTTATGATAAATGAAGTGTCATATTAGGATTCCATCGGAGACTCAATTGTAATTCTAAAACATAGACTCTCAGCCTAAGTTAGTAACATCTGATTTACGTCCCCATTCCTAGAAAATGGAATTTTCAGATGCTCCTTATTTTAATTATATGAAGAAGATTTTTATTGAATTAATAGCAGCAATTCTTACTGATTTGGTGTGAAGATATGTACTGTACATCAGAACAATTGGCTGCCATTTGCGAATAAAATTCTTACTATATACAGTATATTGTCTGGACACCAGCTTGCTGGAGAAAGGTCAATGCCACATGTTAAAAACCTCAATACTTGAGTGAAAACATAGTGCACTGGCAGACATTAACTTTGCTGCTGATTAAGCAGAATGCATTTTTCAGTGTTTTGGAGTACCAGAGATCATCGAAATCCAGAGCCTGCTGAATCTGTCACACTTGATGGTGATGACAATATTGACAAATCTGTTGCCAGATTGTTTTCCTCTGCCCTGGGAAAAGCACCCCATCTGACAAGCAAAACATTTAACAGGAAATGATAAAGCCTTCACTGTAAGTGTGCACTGCTGATAAAAGACCTGTGAATTACATGTAGTAACAATAGTTCCTTTTTAAAATCACAAAGAATAAGTTATTCAAATATGATTTTAAGCCTGCACAATACACTATGTAACCTTACCCCACTCCCTTGTCAGCTTAGTTTGGTTTTTCTTCCTGATTGAGAATGCCTGATGTGCAGCCAAGCCATGCACTGGCAGATTGACTGCAAGGTCCCTAGCCACTGTCACTTTCATCCCATGAGCCTAATCAGAACACTTTATTTGTTCAGCAGACGCATTTATTCAAGATGATTTGCAGAAAATAAATGATGAATGACAATGATGTATGTCGCAGAGCCATTGTCCCCAAGATTAACATTCTGGTTAAGTGAGGATTAATAATTAGTATCACAATGTACAGTGCCTTGCAAACATTTTTAGATCCCCGCACAGCTTTAATATTTTGTTCCTTTAAAGCTTGCCAGTCTTAGCACTTTGGAGTAGCAATTAATATTCATAATGTACGCAACCTACTCCCTCCATTCAAAGCCAAAAAAACAAGTAGAACAAAGTAAATAGAAACTTAATACAGACAAAAAAACTGAACAGTCATGCTCAGTGCTGGAGGGCATGCAGATTACAATGCTTTACCATGTTGCATGTAAGCCCTTTGCTGTGGCAATCATAAATAAAAAACAACATTACTTTAATGAGCCACACAGGTCATTCAGTGACACCTCTATTGTCTGCAATAATAATGGTTCACAAATCTTAGAATAAATACATTTATCTCTATTAGATCCCTCAATCAGGTAGTGAATTTCAAGCAAGGATTTAACTATGAATCTAAGACCAAAGAGCTTTCGGAACAGCTCAGAGATACAGTTGTATAAAGGCACAGAACAGTAGGAGAGGTATAAAAAGAACCCTTAATATCTGTTTGATATGGTGAAGTCAATTATCAAGAAGTGGAAGGCACAAAGACTCTGCCTAGATTAGTCTGTCCCTCAAAACTGAGTAGCTGAGTTAGAAGAAAGTGATTAGGGACTGTGAGGCCAACAGCAGCTTTGAAAAAGGTTTTAGAGCTCAGTGATTGAGATGGGAGAAAATGTCCATGGATCAACAATATCCCTCTCAGTCCACAATCGGGGCTTGAAAGGAACTAAAAAAACACCTTCAATCCAGCATGGGGTACTGCAAAAGGTTTTGTGGACCATAAGACACAATTGGAACTTTTTCATCCAAATGTAAAGTGTCAACTAAGCATCGCTCAGTCAGACCCATCTCTACAGTTCAGCAAGGTGCTGGCAGGAGGTGGTGTGCAGCATGATGTTATAGTTCTCATCAGTGGGGACTGGGAAGCATGTCAAGACTGATGGAAATACAGATGGGCGAAGTACTGGCAGATGTTAGCTTTAGACCTAAAACTAGGACAAAAATGTACCTTTCAGCAGTACAATGATCCAAAGCACAAGGCCAAAGTTCCACTGTAGTGATACAATAAGGAACTGAATGTCCATGAGTGACCCAGTCAAAGTCCTGACTTGAAGTCCTGTATTCCTATTGAGATTATGTGGAATGTCTTGAAAACTGTCCTACAGTATATAAGCGATCCCCAAGCATCTTGAGAGAGTTTGAGCAAATCTGCTCAGAACAATGAGCAGAAATTGCATTAGGCCAGCATGCAATGTTGGCAGACACTTACCCACAAAGACTAGTGGGTAAGGTGCTTCCAACAAATATTGAGGTCAAGGGTCTGAATATTTATGTAATCATATTTCTTCTAATCAGTTTTCTTGTAACCAATTTCTTGTATTGATGACTTTGGTTTTTTCTCTTTAGTTTTTGCTGACATTTATTGTATAATTGACCTTTCCTTTAGAAGTCTTCTGTTTGAGTATTCTGTTTTTGAAAAAAATCACGTTTGCATTATTTTGTAATTTTCATAATCTACAAAATTGGACACCATAGGAAAGGTCTGAACAGTCTACTTTTTCAAGCAAATGTGTAATTAATTTCAGCTGGTATCGCATTAAGTGTTTTTGCTTTTTAATTCATTCAGTGTTATTTGTAATTAGTAACTTGAGATTCAGAAGACAAAACAACTATAAAAGCCAATGAGCGTAATATGCTAAAATATAAGATG